GAGCCTGTCCGGGCAGCTCGAGCCCCTGCCTCCGCGATGCGCCCGCCTAGTTGCGCTGGCTTACAAAACCCGGGTCGCCATGGGCACGCGGCGACCCTCTCTCCCGTCCGGGTCTTCTCGGATCCCTACATCCCTCGGCCCTCTCGCTCCGGGGGCCTGCGCGTGTGCGTGCGCGCGCCCTGGCCTCCACTTCCCGCAGAGCTGCCGCGGCCGCGCGGGCAGCAGGTGTCTCTGCGGGGGACTGCCGTGGTCCCTGCCTTTTCCCGGAGGCCTGGTTGCCCAGATGACCTGTGGGTCTTAAGAGAGAGTGGAGGAAAAGTTGCCAAGCAGATCACACATCCCTAGTTTTGATTTAGGGAATTGTCTCTGGTGATGGGGAGCTTGAGATGGGCACTGAGTGGACCTCTTCGGCAAGCTTCTCGTAATGGAACTGCAAATTCAGAGAGACCTTTGAGAACTCAAATTTTAGCAGAGGATGTGGTGGGCCACAGTCACGTGTTCCACAGAGAACCAAGATAAGTGCTGGAGGAGAAGGGCTTTGAGAAATGGACAATTGATTAGAAAGTATAAGTAAGATATTTAAAACGTCTCCTAGCCTGGAGTAGTGCAGACGTAAATTGCCGGAGGGAAGGAGTTAAACTACACTTTTGTACAAGCAAGAATTAAATCAAGCCCCTCTGTGCTCCTTAACCAGGCTTTAGAAGGCCTCCTAAATAGCCCATTCTCCTCTCGTATTGTCCCACTGTTTTATTCTGTGGATTTGAACACAGTAAAATGCTTTTCAATATTCCAGAGTTGATATTGTTCATTTTCAAGAAATTTCTTTGTTCTAGATTTGTGATTTTACTACATCTGAAACTGCTGGCTACACAGTAGTTACACCTCAATCACATCTGGCTTTGGGAAAGGGGAAATGCCTCCCTGCGGAGAGGAAATTCTGGACCAGTTTCTAAAAGGAAAAAAGAAACAACTTTGACCACCTCTGTAGTCCTATAATCAAGAAACAGAAGCAGAGCAATGTTGAGGTCTTGTCCTGAGAGCGGTGTCTGCTGAGACCTGTGGAAACTGGCAGGTATCCACTGATGAAATACAGAGTAAGAAGCGATGATAAAGAAAGACAAGAGACATAGAGTAGAATTTAAAGTGGGAGCTCAGGGGTCCATGGCCACTCGGATTCTGGCAATGGCCCAAAGTGTTTGCTCCACTCTGATTTTATTGAAGTCTGTTTGCCCAGAGGGTAAGATGAGGGAGGGAACAAAGATGTCAGCAGTTTCTCTGATCATATCAGCTCCTGTTGTTATTATTAACCTTAGTGTAGCCTTCAATAATCTGAAATCTGAGCTTTGTATTGGGAGCGCCTCCTGCTTGAGGTCACACACTGATTTCTAGGGAGGTGTTAACCTCTGCTAGTTCTCTGTGGAGTAAAACTCCACCGCTGTTAATCTCTTGAGGGAGGGAGGCATTTTGGCTCAGAGCTGGAGCTACTCCCTTGGTCTCTGCCCCAGTCAAATGCAAATCTCCACAATGGGTATCTGCTTTGCCTGTTTAATGGGCAGGAAAAGCTCTAGAAGATATATCTTTTCTAGGACTTGCCCTAATCTCTTCTATGGCCATTCCTCTCCACAGAGAGCTCACAGACCCAGCAAGGTGTTTGTAAGCTGTATCCCCCAATAGGCTAGAATTTTGCAGAAAAGGCAAGAAGCTTGCTAGCCGTTGACTTTTCTTTGTTCTAACTCGCTCAGCTTACTTTTAGTTTTCCTTTTTTCAGGGGGTGCTTTCCTTTGCCAAGAATGGAGTCTTCAGTTCCCATTCTCCCAGCAGAGCAAACCCATCCCTCTCCGTAAATGATTCTCATGCTCCCAAACGGTCCATTTAATTTGACTGCTCAGCAAGTAGGTTTTGGTTTCTCTTCTTGAATTATTCCAAAGTCCCTTTCAAAATCAGTGTTTGGATTTTTATCTGCTTTCTTTCTAAAGTAACAATTCACTTGAACTGGAAGGTGATTATCCAGCAAATTCACAAACAAAAACCAGGAAGCAAGAGGGGGAAAGCTGGTAAGAAGTTAAAATCAGTGCAACAAAGACTCTTGCTCTTTAAAAGACACTTAAAACAATGCTGCACACTAAGAAAATATTTGCAAATCATGTTATCTAATAAAAGATAACCCAAAATTTGTAAACTATCAGAACTCAATAGTAAGAAAACATATAACAATTTAAAAGTGAGCAAAAGATTTGAATAGTCACTTCATTACAGAAGATATATTGATGACACATAGGCACATGAAAAGATGTTTCATGTCATTAGTTACTGAGGAAATGCAAATAAAAGCCAAGCAAGCCAGCACTGTGCAACCACTAGAATATCCACGATGTAAAAGGCTGACCATACTGAGAGCTGGCCAGTGAACAGAGCACCTGTAATTTTCATACACTGCTGGTGACAATGAATAATGGTGCAACACTTTTGAAAACAGTTTGGCAGCTTCCTAAAATATCAAGTGTGTATTTACCATGTTAACTAGCCATTCCACTTCTAGGTACTCATCCAAAACAAATAAAATTGCCAGGCATGGTGGTGGGTACCTGTAGTCCCATTTACTTGGGAGGCTGAGGCAAGAGAATCACTTGAGCCTGAGAGTTTGAGGTTGCTGTGAGCTGTGACACTAAGGCACTCTACTCAGGGTGACAAAGTGAGGCAAAATAATAAAAGAAGGAAGGAAAGAAAAGCTCAAGTCCATTTAAAGACTTCTACATGAATGTTCCTAGTAGCTTTATTTATAATAGCCTCAAAGTAGAAATAATTCAAATGTCTACCCACAGATGAATGAATGAACAAATTGTGATATAGCTACACACTGGAACACTACTCAGCAATAAAAGGGAATGAACTATTGATCAACATGGATGAAATCCAAAATAATTATTCTGACTTAAAGAACTCAAGAGCAGCACCTGTGGCTCAATGGGTAGGGTGCTGGCCCCATATACCACGGGTGGCAGGTTCAAACCCAGCCCCAGCCAAACTGTAACAAAAAAATAGCCGGATGTTCTGGCAGACGCCTGTGGTCCCAGCTACTTGGGAGGTTGAGGCAAGAGAATTGCCTAAGTCCAGGAGTTGGCGGTTGCTGTGAGCTATGTAATGCCACAGCAGTCTACCGAGGGTGATAAAGTGAAACAGAGTCTCTCCAAAAAATAAATAAATAAATAAAAGAACTCAAACAAGAAAGAATATGCATGTGTAAATTATTCTATTTATACAACAATCTTAAAGGTACAAATGAATCCACAGTAACAGAAAGCAGATTAGTGGTCATGTGGTGATGGGGGGGTGGTATTACAAAGATGCATAAGGAAACTTTTAGGGGTGATACATATATTTCTTATCTTGATTGCAGGTCTCACAGGTGTACTGATGTGTGAGAACTTATCATACACACTATAAATATATGTATTTTATTGTATTTCAATAAAGGCTATTTTGGGCAGCACCTGTGGCTCAGTGGGTAGGTGGTGGGTTCAAACCTGGCCCTGGCCAGCTAAAACTGCAGTGGCAACTGCAACAAAAAAAATAGCCCAGCGTTGTGGCAGGTGCCTGTAGTCTCAGCTACTCGGGAGACTGAGGCAAGAGAATCGCTTAAGCCCAATAGTTGGAGGTTGCTGTGAGCTGTGATGCCTTAGCACTCTACTGAGGGTGACAAAGTGAGACTCTGTCTCAATAAATAAATAAAATAAAGGCCTTTTTTGTGTATTTATTTATTTGTTTTGAGACAGAGTCTCACTATGTCACCCTCAGTAGAGTGCCGAGGCATCACAATTCACAGCAACCTCAAACTCTTGGGCTTAAGCAATTCTCTTGCTTCAGCCTCCCCAGTAGCTGGGACTACAGGCACCCGCCACAACGCCCAGCTATTTTTGGTTGTACTTGTCATTGTTGTTTGGCAGGTCTGGGCAGGGTTCAAACCAGCCAGCCCTGGTGTATGTGGCTGGCGCCCTAGGGGCTGAGCCTTCATTAAGGCTGTTTTAAAATCTATATAGTAGTAAGAAGACAAAGAGAAGGAATTAGTGAATAGTTCTTATTTTGATAAAAATATATAGCTTTTGACTCAGAGAGGAAAAAATGAGTAGAAGAGCAATATGAATCCCTATAACAGAAATAAGTTCAAATATATCAAGAATTATAATAAATGTGAAAAAATTAAACCTACCAGGTAACACCTGAACATGTCAGATTGTAAAATCATTCAATCTAAGTATGTATTATTTTTAAGAGATGCACCTAAATTATAATATAAAAACCAATATAAAAATATGAAAATAGATATAAAAAAATAAAGCCAAGGTAGCCTGTATTCATACCAGATAAAATGGATTTTTAAGGCCAAAAGTGTCATTACTGATAAGAGTCACACCTAATGATCCAAGATTCAACTCACCCTGAAGATATTAAATTCTAAACACTTATGCAAATAATAAAAGAGTTTCAAAATATATAAAGAAGGAAATTGATGCAACTACTTTGGGTAGACAAGAGGTGATAAGCAAGAGAGAAATTTTACTCTTTTTTAAAAGATACTTTTTTTTTTACCATTACAAAGCCCTTTATTATACAAAATGTCAAGCATATGCAAGGTAAGGAGACCAGTAAGAATGAAGTGCTGTGTGTCCTTCTCTCGGCTTCAGCAGGTCCTAGCCTGTCTTGTTTCACATTTTCCTCCTCCCTGCATTTTTTCAACAAGCATCTCAGACATCAT